ACAGTGTTGCAAGTTGAGGCAACATGTTGCGCAAAGTAGACTCGAGTTCTACTTTCCGCAACAAATTTTAGTTTTGCTGCTCGTATTGCCACTGAAGCTACAACTTGTCTCGCAACAAATTTGAATTCAGCGCTTGTGATTGGCCGTCGCGGAGCGCGGCAGATAAAAAAAACATGGCGAACGGTGAAGGCGAGCCTGAATTCGAAGTAGACCAGTAACTCTCGGAAAGTCATAAATTCGTCCTGTACAAAGACCTCGGGGGCTATCAGAGTCTTTGGGTCACCTCGTTTGTCCCTTCAAAAGAAGTAGGAAAAAAGACAAAAGGCTTGGAAGAACTGTCGCAAAAATACAACTTTTCGCCTAGCTACCTGAAACGACACTGAGCTTCATACTGAGAGAACTTCTCTGGCACGGAAAATTAAGAAGAAAATGACGGCCAGAAGTCGAAGTGAAACTTCGTCGAAATGCTAAATTATGTTAAAAAAAAAAGGCGCCATCTTTATTTTATACACGATTAAGCAATTATACCTGTAGAATTCTGCAGACTTGCAACACTGTATTTTGCTGCGAGACAAGTTGGTCACAAACGTGGTAATACGCGCAACAATGTGTTTCAACCTGCCATGCAACAATGTTGCGAGACAAGTTGAAGGAAAATGTTGCCCGTATTACCGGACCTTAACTCTTTAAAGTTGCAAAGGACGAAAACGTTTCGAGCCGTGGCTAAAAAAGTACACTTGGCTGTCGTGGACATTGTCTATTCTGAGAAGCGGTAGGTTTTCCTGGAGCGTAGCGCTCGAGGAAAACTGTGAGCTTTAAGGAACAGACAATTATTATCCTTCAAACATTTGTCGCAACACGCGCAGTTTTGAATATTGAGGAATATCACTTGGTAATTCCTCAGTTTCAGCTGGGGCATATTTAGTCAAGTGACGCGTTCAGACCAATCGCATGAGAGCGAAAATATTTGATGGATTATAAAGACACTTATATTCGCTGCTGTTTTTGCAAATGTCCCCTGTTTGGTTACGAATGACACAAAGGTCTAATGGAATTTGCTTGAATCAAAAATAGCGAAGAAGAAAACCTCTGTTTTTACAATTAAGAACAGTTATCCGAGGAGAGCATGTAAACCCCTAAAGCAGTATCATCATAATAGTTCTTTTATTTCTAATACTTTTACCTTATTATCCTTACAAGGACATAGTAATTATTTCAGTCGCATTGATCTAACGGCAAAATGGAGTTCAGAGTACATAAAGCCAGCTTGCCGCTTGCATGTTTGCAGCGTCTTCTGGAATTAGAGAAATCTTAAATCTTCCTTCTAAGGCAACGAAAACATAACAAACAGGGGGAATATATGCTCTAGTACTTTGGTAGTTTTAGTTTTGATTAATTAAAAAAAAACAAACAAACAACAACAATAAAATGTAAATGCCGGGAACCCTTACCAAAGTGCTGGGTAAATTGCATCGACATTTACTCCTGCACAAGATAATGACTCTTGCAATTTATTTTAGTTTTCTACCTATGTTCTTCTCATTCTGTAGTTACATTCGTCTATTGCTATTCAAATTGTTCTTTTCCCTTAATGTTTTCTACAATCTTTTATAAAACCTTGGACGCTAACGCTAGTTACGTACAAAACATAAAGCTAACTTATTTTATTATACCTCTTAGTTACTACGCGCTTTGTGATTGGTCAATTCTACTGTATTCTACTGTACGACCCACTAAAATTTAAAGCTGTTTTTGTTGCAAAAATGTTTCGTGATTTATCGCCAAGTGTTGTCAACTTTTATAGCAAGTGAAAGTTTAATGCTTTCTTCTACTTAAATTGTGTATTTAAATATGCTGACGACTTAACTACTTAACAACGATTTCAAATTGATTCGTTTTAATTTCGACCCGCGTCAGAAATTTGAAGCCGTTAGACGTGAATAGAAATCGCTCTCGGACCCTTCAGACACACAGTAGAGATATAATAACTATCTTACCTTACTAACAGTGTCTTTTCTGTCCGTACTGTAAGTTATACGGTTTTTTCCCTTCGATGTATGGCCCGTACGCTTCGCGCTCGGCCATGAATCGAAGCGAAGAAAACTCGGTGCATAAATTACAGTACGGACCTCGAGCTTGGTTAGTAAGAGGTATATATTTCTTACACTAATAGTATCCAATTACCTACAATTTATATCGGCTTAAACGATACTTTGCAAAGTAATAGTTCTACGAGATATAAATAGTGTAAACTACTTAATTCACGAACACATTTCCTCCAGCCCTCTCTCATGTCTCTCTTAGACAGTTACTTGTCTCTCAATGGTGTCCGGTTTGAAAGAGGCTGTTGCCGTCCTCACAAAAACTACGCTTACAAGCACTAAATAGTTCTGTTTTAACAGCGCACTTGATTACTGTAATGATCGTCTCTACAACAAAATTCTCGATTGTATTGGTTGTCCGCGCGTCCATTTGTCACGTAATCTACGCGAGATCACCTACACCATTCGCACGCCCATTACGTGAGCTTTAATGGCTTCACTGTAAATGTTCTCTTAAGTTTTAAAAAACTTATGAAAAGTACTACTGACTTTTTCGCTTTTTTATCTCGAAATTTGTTATTGATGCGATAAATTAGTAATTGTACCTCGTGTCGTACAACACAGAGAGTAATGGTGCTCGTAACTTCAAATCGGCCTCACGCTCCGCGCTCGTCCGATGTACTCCCTGAATGGTACTCCACTCGGTCCAACTACTACTACTACTACATTACACGAGCAAAACTGAAGAAGCTAGCCCGTAATTACCACACGGAACACTTGAAACGACGGTTCATTTTACTCCCACGCTTACAACTGTACGCGTCTGCAAATTTCTTAAAGTTGGATAGCGGACCAAGCACCCTGCGAAAAAATGGAAGGAAAGTAAACGAATGAGACCTGCACCAAAAAAAAAAAAAAAAAAAAAANTTATATGCTACTTATCTTATAACACAAAAAAGCTCAAAAGTAGGTGATATTAAAATCTCGTCTTTTAATCTACGAAGGTCAATTTAGTAAAGAGAAAAAAAAAAAAAAAATTAAAAATATGAAGCCATCATAGCGTAATGATGCATTTATAATCTCGAGGAGCTCGCCATGCGTGAGTCATTAGCAAGAATGAAGATTGTGATTACGGCAAACGGCAAAAACTACCGTTTGCCATAAACGCCAATCTTAAGCTCTCCAGTAACAATGCCGTTGGTACACGGTTTGGCCTCTCAGATTACAAGTTAGGCAAATTATAGAAGGTAATCAAATGAAAACCTCGGAATTGCAAAATTGCCATCAGATGGCAACGTTTGGCGCGAAATTTCTCAGGACAATAAACAAGTCAAACACCCACGATTGTAAGCGTAATTTGTCACCTTTGATATTAAAAGTAACCGACTGTTATACTCGTGAAATTAAGAAATGCTTTCACTCGCGTTTTATCAAAATTTTGACAAAACGCGCGTATTTGGGGACTTTTGTTTCCTCGCAAAAACACTCTACGTGGATATTAAAAAAAATTTGAACACCTTTTCCGTTGCCATGTCAACAAAATACAGTATCAAAACACACATGTTGAGGTCTCTGTAAGTGTTATTATGGGAATCATGGACTGTTACAAAGGGTTTCAAAATTTAATATACCGCCATTTTGACATGTTTTCATTGAGTGGTTCTGTATGTAAATCTAAAACGCAAGCTGCAAGGAATATTTGAAGACTTTGAACTGCTCTTTGTGGAGCTTCTTTGCATGGGATTCTATCAAACACAATTCGGTGTACAATAGCTTGCCAATAGCAATATAACTGGGCTAAGATTTGCAATTGAAATATTCATACCTGTATTTTGGGTACGAATGTACGTCAGTCTTCAACTGGTAAAGAGCAGCTTGCTTCTTGTAGACACTACACCATGGCTAACATTAGAGAAACAGTGTCATGTTATAGATAACAATAAGAAAAGTCAATACTCCCTGCGTAACGACATTTACATCTCAATGAACAATTGTTAATTATATTTTTTCTGAGAATTGTGAAATTAGTAACCGTTTGAATGGGAGTGCTATTAACGATTTACACTACAAGTGATAATCAAAATTGCAGGAGCCATTATCACGTTATCAGTGTAACGTTAATTTGCGCTGCAGTGCAAAGTAAAAAAAAAATATCGAAAACTTGGCCTGCTTTCAGCCAGCCACAATGAAGTAATTTTCTCTGTCAAATGATAAAGCTTGTTTATGTACCCTCACCAGCCTAGATTTTCTCAGGTCAAAGCAGTGAAATGCAACAGCTAACTTATTGGGTTAAACGACCATTTAGTACTTGCAGTTTATTCAAATTGATCGATTACAATATAGTCATTATATTAAGAAAAAAGAACCGCTGAAAGAACTATTTGGACCAAACAATGATGTGACAAAGATACGCTAACCCTGTGATCATATCGTCTAACATAAAACATGGCTAAAAGAACGTTGAGAACATTTTTTCGCTCATTTTCAAGTGTTAATACTAGTAACACTAATACGCAGTTATAAAACAAAGCGTGCTCAGTAACCCACCGTAGCAAATCCAATGAAGAAAAGTTGATCCACACTCAAATCCAGGTTAGGTAACCGCCCCTCTTTTTTGTTGTCGTCGACCCAAGACTGATATGCCTAAATACAGAGGTTTGATAAAGATAAAAAGTTAATAAATATGAGAAGTTCAATGCCGTACAAACTTGTAGAACACGCTGTTATGACGCAACATTTCAAGCCAAGGAATATTTAAGATGTGAGCCACAGAAATAAAATACAGATGAGCGTGATGAATAGGGATTCCTTAAAACTGTAAGTTATATTTAGTAGTTATAACATTTATTCTTTATTTAGAGCTGCACGGAACTCCTAAAGACATTTCCAAATACTGAACTTTCTTTTTCTAACCCTTTCCAAGAGGAGAAATAGAAGGACGTAGTAGAATACGTAAGAGTAGGGAAAGAAGAACTTAGCATCAGTAAATTCTCTCAATCTCAGCTGGGCAAATCTTAACTTAGACCAAAAAGATCCTCTACCCACGATTTAGACCTGTAATCAAGTTTCTTCAAATCTGTTGAATCATGACGGAGATCTGAATAAGCGGTGGCTTACATCATATGCAAGCTTTATCCCTCCATTATCAGCTATGTTTTCATTTAAAGTTTGTTGGCCATTTATCTGCAAGAAAAAAGAAAAAAAAAAAACACAAGACATATTTCTACGTTTTTGCCTTTGAATGTTCAAGGATCCTGAAAGTTGCGACCATTCAAATGAGAGGTCCTGCGAACTACCTTCGTGCTCCAACTTTTGCGACTCTGGTGTTCACACAATGTTCAGAAAAAAAATGCAAAAGAATCATTGTCTTTTACAGTTATATTTATTACACCACCAAAACAAATGCTTTACTTAAACTAAAATCCAAGAGGGGTCTGTTATTCTCCACTGTTTATTATGTCTGTGAAGCTTGTGTTTGTGTTTGTGTTTTGTTTCGGTTTTCTTTCTTCTTTTTTTATGCTTTTAAGGTCGTTTATTCCTGAGGGTTAGGACTATTAAAAGCCCTTTCCTACAAAAATCCAAGAAGGGTCTTTTATTCTCCACTGTTTCTTTGATCTATGTATCGTAGAAGAAAAAAAACACTCGTCGTTCGTTCAAAAGGTTTTAATCACACTGAAATAATGAACCTATTTACAAAATTATTTAATGGATCACGAGGTGTAAATGTCAATCAAACGTTCGAAATCAATGCTCTGGAATGTAATTACGTAAACTCGATGACAAACGAAACTTTCGTGACACTATGCTTTTGGCTTTTTTGTTGTTGTTGTTTTTCCATCTTCTCTTTTTTTATGGTTGAAGGTCGCTTCTTCCTGAGGGTAAGCAACATTAACTACGATAACTTCCCAAGCAAAAACCGGAGGTAGCACTATTAAGCCGACCTCTAAACTTTTCGTATCGTTAACATCGTATGAATTAAAGCTAGTTTTATAACTTTGTTTTTGTGTTTGTTTGTTTGTTTGTTTTTGTTTTGTTTTGTTTTTATGACTGTTTCCACAAGGCGCGCAAGATCGTTCTGATTTCAAGTCTGTGGATGCCGTGTACGTGTTCCATCAGCTAGTTAACGAGTACAAAATAAAGTTTTGTACTGCTTTCTACAGGAATACGGTTTTTATCACACTTACATACTCTCCAAACACTTCGTAGTTGTTGTATTGATTAACCAGGCAATCAGCTTTTGTCTCGAAATTCTGCTCCGAACTATAAGACCACCAATCTTTCGCATTACCATTTGCATCAAACGTTCGTCCTAAAAACGCAAATTCATCATTAACGGATGTTGAGCCCCACTTTGACGTCATACTACGGTCGGCGTATCTTGACTTATAATCCATCAAATAATTTCGCTCGCACGCGATTGGGCTGAACGCTTCACGTGACTGAATAGCCCCCCGCTAAAAGTGGGGAATATCCGAGTGATATTCCTCAGTTTTCAAAACTGCGCGTGTTGCGAAAAATATACTAAGGATAAGAAACACAATAGCCTCCATTTGACTTTGAAACTATGCACGGATATTATTTTGCCTTAAGACATTATCTTTTCCTCGAAGCGTCGCTCCCGGAAAACTGTTCGCCTCTCAGAACAGATAAAGTCTGCGGATAAATATATGGGTATATTTTCGCGCCAAATGGAGGCTGTTGTTTATCTATTTAGCCTTACGTTTTTAGGTTTGACTTTGTTAATGGGTCACTGTCTTCTCTGGTCTTATGGCGTGGCAGAGGTTAAGAAAAAAACCTTCCGGCCAGAACTGAGAACAGTCACTGGCTCACACGTTTATTAAAATTCCAAAAATGCAACCAAATGACGCATTGGGGTATGAAAATATAATGCCACGTTAAAAGACCAACTCCGAATAGGGGGGTTTTAAACCGCACAAGGTAGTCTATACAGGCTCATTTGATAGGAAGGCTAGCTACTTGGATAGGAAGAGGACAAATTAAGTAACAGAGTTGGGGATAGCAAGGGCTACAAATAAATACTACCTTGGCTGTCAAATCCGTGTGTAATTTCGTGACCAATGACCATTGCCAATGATCCATAGTTGAGATATCTGAAGAAACATTGCACATTGAATGTTATAGAGAAATCTTCAAACGCACAAGTCAAAGGGAATTTGTTCGTTTGCGCTCGCTAGTTTATCATAGAAACAACAAAAACGTGTCTGCAAATTTTGTATTTTGAAAGTGTTTTTTCTCCGAGAGCGATTTTTGTACGACTAGATTTTTTTAATCCTATTTCGAAAATGCTCTGTAACTTTCCACTGCAATTGAATATGGTAAAACGAAGACATGATTTTGTTTTAGCGCTTTCGATCCTGAAACTGAGAAGCAAATTAAATTCGCGAAAAACAAAACTCTCTGATGATCCGAACTGTCGCATTTACAGCTCACGAAAAATTTGACAGTTAATTATATTTCAAAATTCTTGTTTTAGTTTGATAGCCAGCTCTATAAGCTTTAATTTGATATAGGGTTTTAGGTGTTTGGACGCGAGGAACTTCTACAGGTATACGGTGACCTTGAGACCTCCTGCCACGAAAAAAAACGGACAGTTTGTTTTGAAATATAAAGACATTTGACATTTAACCAGCCAGAAAGAATAATTAATATATTTTCTTGCTTCCCACCCTTCTTCTTAGAATCCAGCGACAGGGTCCACCATTACTTACTTTGGGTAAAGTTTTCTGTAAAATGGAGATTGCAGGATTCCAGCCAAAAATACTGTGAAGAAAAAGTAAATGCAAGACCAACAATTATATTGATAAAGTAAGTTCAGCTGTAGTACATTATCTGGCAAAGCGATTTTTAAAGACGTAAGTCATGTCCAAAGCATTCATGGCAGCTTCTAAGAAACAAAGTGAAGCTGATTTTCGCAGGCCATTGGCTATACCCAGGACGTATACTCTCTGTGGAGGCACCTACACGGTATGATAAGATTGTCTAAAGCCGGGCCCCTTTTACACGGGTTCTTCTTGTTCAGTGAAGAAAATAAACTTACCTATTCGGTTTTGCTGTGGACTGTAATATCCATTGACTTCCGCAGGACTTTCCATCCACCTAAGGAGGCCATTCAGAGATATATGTTATAATTAGCACGACCTGATGTTAGTCGTAAAAGCAGGAAATGCGTAGTACACACTCGATGCCTCAACTTCAAGTAATTCAGTTTATTGAGATAACTAATCTAAAGCAATCAGATTACAAGCCTAAGTTTCCTACAAGTGATAGTTAACGTTGGACATTTATTTGAAGAAAACTGAAATTTACAACATCGTTCCTTTTTCTATCAGAATCATGGAGTTATACAATTGTAAAACGTAAATTAGAAGGGTGAATCTAGTGATCAGGACTTTCCGGCGAACACGGTGGCCACATCAGTTTTCATTATTACTACATAGTCAATGCGCAGAGTAGCAGTTTGCGATAATTATTTGTTTTACTTCGGTTTGTTTTTAGGAAGGGACTCCCTAGTCGGCTTCATACTCTATTACTACTACTGCACGTTTACATCAAGAAACCTGACAGGGAACTCACGGTCGAAAAGTTTAGTATACTTGTCATCTCTGCACGAAATCATAAAATAAGAAAATGGCATGTCGCTTAGCAACGTCTCCGAGGAAGACTGCGGGCTCAAGATAACTACCTACCCCATCACTTCGTTGTCAGATATCAATGATATCAGAATTAGGTTCGCCACGTACGACTAACGGATCCAAAAAAATTTTCGCCATGAAACGTGCTTCAGTAATTAAATCCCAAAGCACATCACACTTACAAGTCTTTGTTGACCGGCTGGTCAAGCATTACAAAATTCTTTTGTATAATCATCTTGTTCATTGCCACTTCGTTTGCAAAATAGTCGTTCCTTGCAACCAGCTGAGAAAAAAAAAATCATTAAGTCGACATTTAAAACAAGTGATAAGTTTTACAAAAGCAGGCTAAACTGGTTCGGTCTGTAACGAGCTCACAGTGGTCATAACTAAATAAAATATGAGCAAATAAAGCTGATAAGTACAACTTGTGGGTGAATAAAAGTAGCTGAGTTGTGTTTGACTCCCATGAGAGAAGGAAACTATTCAAGGCAAGTGCAACGGTCCAATAACAGCGAGAGCATGCAAATGAGGCTCAAACTGTTAACCGGGCATGAAGTGTACTGTTAAATAACACCTGGCATGGCGCTCAAACTGAAACTATCCAATTCTGCTCAAATCGGGCCTGCGAATAACCAATCACTTTCGAAAATTTTCATATAGTACGATCAAGGGTAAAAATTCATTGTTTAACGCTAAAGATATACATGATATTATTAAAGTAGCTAACAACAGTTTCCAGAACTTTCCGAGATTAAGATTGTGATAAGTCAATATAACCACTCTTTTTCAGTTGATGCAACAATCCCGGTACCAAACAGCTGCCCAACGATTGCTGGAAACCCCGCTATCATCATCGTGGCACAATAGCTTACCATAGCAACAGTATGACCTGGTACAAACACCCTTAATTTTAGCTTTAACTGCTAATGAGCTCCATAACCCACATTTTTTACTCGAGATTCGATTAGCAGGATATGACACAACTTTTGGCAAAGTTTAAAACTTTTTCTGTACATGTGGTTCAGAGCCACCTTAAATTTTTGAAATGTCTGATCGAGCTGGTCATCCTTAGAGATGTCACATAAGCGAATATACAAAATAGTAATTACTTACCATTGAGTATTGCGCGTCAAGTTTGGTGTCATTTTTGATGTAAGGGGGATACCCGATATCTTCTTTGATTGCTTGGGCCTGGATTGGAATACGAGAGTAAAATTATCATATAAACTGAGAACGAAGATGACGACACAATATATAACATGGGTTTTTTTTCCCCCGAAAATTATTTATCCGAAACATGAAAAAAAGAATATACGGTGAAGATATGGACGATATAAGACTGACTGGGCTTACACTCAATTCAAGCGTCAGCAATCAGTTAGGTATGAAACACAGCTGAATGCGGTTTCTCTTCAGAAACGCGCCGTGGTCCATGCCACTTCCGATGAGAAAATGACAAAAGAAGAGTTTAGGAAGACTTGTGTTAAGTGGATATTACAATTCTACATTGTCGTCCCATCATCAAATTAAACAAGCATCTACACTAAGCTCTGCAGGCTCTACCAAGATTGTTAAAACTGACTTAAAATAAGATAGCCGGAGCGATCAAATGTTTACTGTATTGGGTAAGATGGTTCTAAGACGAGGCCAAGAAGGCCGAGAAAACAGCTTTCGACAGAGACACAAGGAAAAAAACTCAGATGAAACAAAAAAGATCTTCAAAAGGTTTTCATGCGCTTTACTGTACCTTTTAAACCTGGTTTTCACTAAGACACAAGCACAAGCACTGACAAGAAAAACATAAAGGTAGTGAGGATGCCCATGAAACAAGTTCAAGCACAAGCAGAACATCTTCGTCTTCTTGCGCTTGGGAGAACGTGCTGCTGTAAGCATATATGTGCATAAACATGAGCCCGCCGTATTGTTTTACTGTATCTGGGAAGTATTGGACGGAAAATAGGGCAATTATCCATTCTGTGCCTGCTTAAGGTGGCTCCATAGGGTAATCATTCATGGCGTTGCGCGCGCAAGTGCTATGTTTTGAATGCTGTTTTTGAATTCGCTTTCACACCCAGTCCTTTCAAACGTATTACATGTAATAACACATGATTAAATAGTGGTTTGCTATCATCTCTGTTAAAATTTTGGGTTTTAGTCTTGAATTATAAATGCCCAAACAACTGTGTTTTTTACTGTTTGTGTGGCTTTATTTGTGATTTTCTTGAATTTTCTTCCGTGAAATCTTCCAATTTTTTTACAACACATCGCTTCCAACGGAATACGAATTTTAAACACGAAAAAAGTAGGGTTTGTAAAGGCAGTTTTTTCGATTTTTCAAATTTATGTCTTTTACCGCTGCAAAAAATCTGGTCTTATAGATTTCCCTGAAAAACGAGCTCCGACTAAAGTAAAATATTTACTACCAATCTGCCAAATTTTACGAAATTTCACCGAAGGAAACGCGAGAAAATTCATTGTCAGTTTTGCTTTTTGTGCTCATGTTGACGTCAGAAAATATCCAAAAACACTGACTTTTTCCTTCGAGCGCGCGCAAATTACTTGAGCTTTCGTGCTCAGCGCGCGTGCGATCGTAAAACTATAGGGAGCCACCTTAAGGTGCTTATGCTTATGCTGGTGCTTGTGCGATGTCGCAGTGAAAACCAGGCTTAAATTAGCGGATTGTTTTGTCTTGGAATTCTTTCAGTTTTCCTTCTAAGAAATGATAATGTTGAAGAGGACAGAACCTGCATGGTGGTGCCTTCTATACCAGAGTAAATAGAAATGGCTGAAAAATGTATATGATCAAGTAATGAGACGGTGCATAAATTTGAATGTTTTCGCTTCTCTATACCTTTTCCTTAGCGGCTTGTTTTGTATCGTAATCCATCCAGTCTGCAGACTTCAAGTTATCAATAAAAGCTGTGCGAAGACGGGAAGTCATGTCTTTTACCTGAAAAACAACAATCCACAAGACGTGGCGTCTGGTTTACTACGTCAACAGAGCCATAACACGGTCAGATGAGACAGCAATTTCCATTAAAAATCGTTGTTTACGAATATGCCTACATTTTTTTTAAACAGAACAGAAACACTGCATCACTTGACCAGTTCCGTCTTATCATTATTATTTAGCTTTTATTAACGAGCAGGAGGTCTATATGGGAGAATCCTGACCGAGGTCGTGAGTACAGACCGAAGGCAGTGAGGTCTGTACACACGACCGAGGTCAAGATTCTCCCATACAGACCGACTAAGCTCGGTTAACAAGATGCTTATTATATGGCAAACAAGAAAAAATTAATTGTTCAATTAGACTGGTTTGTACCAGCTGACATTTTGCTCGCGAACGGCGATGAGCGGAACTTAAATCTGCCAAAGTTTGCTCGTCCTCCTTACTTTTTTTCCTCATCAGGCTTTTTGGCACTTCTACTAATATTGTTAGAAGAAAATAGTCAATATCTTTTGTATTTTAGTTTGCAACTTTTTTACTGCAAAATGTAACCGGTAGATGCCGGTCTAGATGGAAAAATCTAGACCGCGGTCAATATCAATTTCAGCCAATCAAATTCGTGAATTCGGTAGTTCCCAGTCCTTGTGAGACATAGCCATATAATAATATTTATTAACGCCGGCTTGGAGCTTCGGGAGACACCAAATCAGTAAGGTAACGATGCCAGGCAGCTATATTCGCTGGCCCGGACCCGGACAGTCACAAGGGCAGAGGACCCACGCAGTCACTAAAGCAGAAGACCCGGACAGTCATTAGGGCAGAGGACCCAGACAGTCCCTAGAGCAGGAGACCCGGACAGTCACTAGGGCAGAGCACCCAAGCAGTCACTAGAGAAGAAGACACGGACAGTCATTAAGGCAGAGGACCCAGGCAATCACTAGAGCAGAAGACCCGGACCGTCACTAGGGCAGAGGACCCAAGCAATCACTAGAGCAGAAGACTCCGACAGTCATTGGGGCAGAGGTCCCAGAACGTTCCTGGAGCAGAAGACCTGGACAGTCACTAGGGCAGAGGACCCAGGCAGTCACTAGAGACGAAGACCCGGACAGTCATTAGAGCAGAGGACCCAGGCAGTCACTAGAGCACAAAACCCGGACAGTCATTAGGGCAGAAAACCCAGACAGTTACTAGAGCAGAAGACCCGGGCAGTCATTAGGGCAGAGGACCCAGACAATCTCAAGAGCAGAAGACCCGCATAGTCAATAGGGCAGAGGACCCAGGCAGTTACTAGAGAAGACGAGACAGACGGTCATTAGGGCAGAGGACCCAGGCAGTCACTAGAGAAGAAGACCAGGACAGTCATTGGGGTAGAGGACCCAGACAGTCACTAGAGAAGAAGACCAGGACAGTCACTGGAGCAGAAGACCCAGACAGTCACTAGGGGAGATGAATTAGACTGTCACTTGGGCTGAGGACCCAGATTGTCACCAGAGTAGAAGACCTAAGCAGACACTAGGGCAGTAAATCCAGACTGTCACTAGGGCAGAGGGCACAGAGTAAGTATATTCTGGTTATCTTGGTGCTGTCTTGCATAAGTGAAATAACTGCAGCACAGAACTAGAGTAAGGACACTGGAGTCACGATAAACGTATCTGAATCCTGATAACACGAAGTTCTTATCTACATACACGAGTAACTAAAAATGCTCCTCACCGTTGTTTTTGTAGATTCGTCAAAATTCGCATCCACATACAATCTTCCTAAAGTCATGCCCATCGGTTCCATCATGCTCTCCAGACAGTGAGACCACCTTTTATATTCTCGCACTCCAATTATCGTCTCCTGGAATTGTCGCTTAGCCTGGACAAACTGAGAAGGCATTGACATAACGTAGTTGTCGATAACACGCCACATTATGTAGTCGTTGATATTAGCTGCGGATCTAAAGGAAAGGAGAAGGAGGCACGCCCCTCATCAAACCTCTTTTCAATATCATAATTTTAATAAAGAGCTGGGAATAATAAGAATTGGTTCATGCTAACCGCGTATATATCGAGTTATGGATGCATGGAAGGCTGTGTACGAGCTGCTAGTCAGCTTCTCTTAAACAAAAATACAGCACATTCGTATTTTAGTGCAATAAAGGGTCCATTGGCTTTATTTGAGCTTTTGCGTGTTACTTAAGTACTGATTGAAAGGGCTCTTTGCTAATGAACCCAGATGTTTCTATACTCTTCTAGATATTGTATTTAGGGTGGTCCTAGAGGTCTTGAAAGTTTCTACCTATCCAGAGAATTCTTTACACCTCAGCACGTTCCTGGCGTTTCTAGCTACAGATTGGGTACATCATCCTTTGACAAGTTCTTGAGCTCTCTGTATAAAATGATTGATTAAGTTTTTAACATGGTCTTCGAGTGCCTTCTCATACTTCTTTTCTTTTCGTTTCGTTTCGTTTCGTTTCGTTTCTTTTCTTTTCTTTTCTTTTCTTTTCGTTTCGTTTCGTTTCGTTTCGTTTCGTTTCGTTTCGTTTCATTTCGTTTCGTTTCGTTTTTTCTCTTTCTTCATTTGCATCATTTTCAAAGATTTCGAGAAGCCTTGATCTCCGTACAGGAGAAACAAACTGCCGTGGAAGAAAGATAAAACTTTATATGCCGCCCAACTTCTGGTCCTGAAGATCCTTGTAAATTTCCATGTATATGTTGAATGAATAGATATTCGTGTTATTGATGTCTCAGCCAGTGAAAGCCGAAACTCTTTATCACAATTGTTATCGCTAGTGTTCAGATTTCTCTAGTTCCCGTGAACTAGAGAAATCTGCCATCGGGAACCGTGCTTTACCGGTACAATAGAACGCAGGTTTTGCCACTCTATTGACCAATCAGAACGTGCGTAGTTTAAAAACTCTCATCAACCATAGCTTGACTAAAAAGCGCATGAGGATCCTGCCAGTTATTGTGAGATACATAGTATTATTATATGGCAAGGGTAGTCTTGAGGTAAATCCGAGCCTTCTGATTGGCTCTTTGGATTGATTGGTCTGGATTGCGCCGTACGGACCGTTTCCATCATAAGCTGTGTATTTTTTGTTTTCGAAAGCCAGCATATTCAAAATTTGCAACCAAAACTACGAAAAGAAAACGTGTAAATATTGTCATTCTTCGCAAAGAAACTACCTGAAAGACTGATATTTAACAGAGTTTACAACATGGACGAGGAAGGCGAATATTTATCAAGCGCATTTTATTATCCTGAAGATCTGGAAACGTTTGATGTAGACACTGAAACAGGCATCAGCGAAAGTCAGGAGGCCATAGACGATTTTCATATGAACAAACAGAAAAGCGCAAACACAAATAAGAAGACGGCTACTGATATGAACACTCTTCTCCGCTACGTGGAAGCTAACGGTATGGCAAATGAAAGAAATGAAAGCCTACCTGCGTCGGAGCTTGACCGAGATATTGCTATGGCTTTACGGGCCCGAAAAGTTTCCGCGGCTTTCGAGAAACGGGCCCGTTTATACAGCTGCGATAGTTTGGACATTCTGGGTAAGACTACACTCTTTGTGGTTCATCTTTACCGTGGTTATCCTTAGCACCCTACAATAATTTGCCAAAGTCCATTGGACTGAAATACTCACTTGTTATGGTATTGCTTGCCAATAGCTTTGAAAAACTGGAGGTATGCGTCTGATGATGGATAATAAACTGTATTAAACGAAGAGAAGACTCTCCCCTGGTCGGAAAATGCAGTATTCAGGAACTTGACCATGACTTCTAGCTGTGAGAAAACACAGGAATCATTTCACATTTACGATTAAGCAAAGCCGCGCACATCTAGAGGGCACAAAGACTTTTAAAAGCTTAGTTATACCTTTATGAAAGCTCTTTGCTAAATAATAATAATAATAATAATAATAATAATAGTTCATTTATATAGCGCACACATCCATTATTTGCCCGAGACGCTTTACAAAACTGTCCCTAAAAAACTACAATTTTACTCTAAGAAACTTAAAAACTAAAATGAAAAACTAGGAAAATACCTAAAAATATGATAAAGAGTTACTCTTAATAAATTTAGTAAAAAGGAAGGTCTTGAGGTTTTTCTTAAATACTAAAACTGTACTGGATCGACGTATTTCCAAAGGAACAGTGTTCCAAATCTTCGGAGCGCATACCGAAAAAGCTCTATCACCGTATGTTTTGGTTCTACGAGTTGGCTGCATAGCAGGTCTTGAAAATTCGAGCGAAGACCAATCTGGTAATACCACCAGATATTAATACTAACCAGTAGGTGGTCGAATTACTAAGGGCATGTTATATTCAGAACTATACCATTTACTAATTCCAAACCAAAATTCAAACTGAATTGAAACAGAACTTAAAATTCTACAAAACGTTTGCCAGTTCCGTAGAAATTACACTTTTGGGTACTGAGCCAATGATCGAGAAGAATAAACGACTGTATTAAAAATCTTCTCAAAAAAGGAAACTTGTGATAAAATTTTACCTGTGTTTGCAATATGTCTCTTAACTTTGAAATTTATTTTCTCGAGTTCCAATGGAAAATTGTTTTCAGTGTTATATCAGGCAACTATTTATATCTTTAGCTTTAAGAAAATGTAAAAAGGACTTCACAACACCTAAAAATATTCTGGTATAAGGTTTTTAAACAAAAAACTAAAATTTCTCGATTTACTAAAGGATTACGTCTTAATACGCATGCTTCTACCAGGGGTTTGACCGAGAAAGTCACCAAGGAATTTCTTAAGATTCTCGTTTTACGTACATCGAAGTTTGAGTCCCTGCAAAAGTCTTCCAATGTTTTGCCCCCTGAGTTGACTGATCGACCTGCTCGGAAATCATCCCTGAATGATTCTATCAAATCATCTGAAACTTTGTTAGGATTAGCAGCCTGAAAACAAAGAAATTGAAAAAATGAAAGAAAGTAAGGAGTTTACTGGATAACTAATGTAAACCCCTCAAAACAACCACTGGTATACAAAACGTAGAGCCACAGTGCTTCAGAACCATACGATTATTCGGCAAAGCAATTCATTCAAAATATTTCTTAATAATTACATTTGACCGTGGATCAATATTTTTTTAACTCAAGTTATTCATTTTGGGATAATTCACGTTTGCTTTAGAGCCTCTCAATTTTAAATTTTACATCTTATTAGTAGCAATGATCAGGGTGTGGAGAGGTTCCTTGGTCCGTGAACCTTCAGTTGAATTGAATTCTTAATCACCCCGGCTCCAAACTGATTAAAGAAGAATTTTAAATATCCATCAAATTTGTTGTTGATTCTTACCTCAGCAATAGCCCATTCAAAGTCGTATATGTGCATCATCTGTTGCTCAGAGTACCACCCTCCTCCTCCAAGAAGCCGAGCGATGGTTTTCATGTATGTTTTGTACGCCTCGCGGATCTGCAGGTTAAACAGAATGAGAAGGACGGCACATCTAAGGGTCTTCTCAGTAGTTAACTCGAAATTGGTCCAAATGCAAGCTGATATATAGTATTCAATATATAGAATTCAATATATATCTTAATCTTAATTTAAAAGCATTTTTAGTCAATTTTCGATACAGTAAGTGCCTATTAAATATTCTAGCTAATTCTACTTTGTAACTTTTGATGTGTATTTTTACCAAATGAATTATTACTATTATTATTATTTTGATTATTGTTATGATAATGATGATGATGATGATGATGATGATGATGATGATGATGATGATGATGATATAACTCGTCTTTTAATTGATAGCCGGAAAATGGTTCGTCTGGTAACGGAAAGCTGAGACTGATCTGAGACCCGCAAAATTTACCTATAGCTGAATAGTGCGCGCGGCAAAACAAATAACAAATAGGTGCGTAATCGCATTGTTAAAGAGAATATTAAAGAGGATATCATATTTCATTGTTGCTGGGCTTACAAAGGCTTAACACCAAGTCAGCCTATGAACAACTGATCAATGTAAGCATATACAATTTCAGTTTTCTTTCTTTTAGCAAACTCTTCCCTCCAAGTCTGTCCAAGTCAATAAGGATGAGACTAATTCAAAAGGGATAACAACCAAGATTTCAACCGACAAAAAAGAAATGTTATCTCCATATACTTTCCTTGTTTCCCGCATCGTCAAAACACTAGATCTAGTCAGTTCGGTTATCGATTTTAAACTTATTGATAAAACAGTGTTCTTCCCCAAATTCAAAGAGATAAAATTCGCGTTTGTTGCTTTACGCAATCTAAACATCCAGTATTTTGGTGATTTCACGTTTCTTTCTTGTAGAGGATAGCTCTGTAGCTAACAGATTCTGAGTCAGTGGTATGGAGTCAGGCTTTACTGGCCCGGCGTGATAAAATCGCATCGTACTAACCTGCTCGCCTTGACTGGAGTCTTCGTAATAGTACTCGTAGCTCATTCCTAACGAAGAAATGCCAATCTAATAAAGGAAAGAGGATAAAACAACATATTTCGCTCTTTCATAAATACTTTAAACCCGATACGAACACAAAGATATCCTTTAGTTTACATGATCAAACTTATGGACGTTTTAAGGCCAGTAAGATTTGTAAAAGGCAGTGGATTATGCAGGTTCTGATTTGCACAAATACTTCCCGAAAAACAGAGTTTTGCGTTATTAATTAAATTGCCAATATTTGCCTGGCTGCCCCGCCATATCATTGGACCTAACGTGCTAAAAAAAAATTATCATAGGCAACTGCGAACATCGAATAAAAGAACAGAAAACTGCAATATTTACCCACACCGAAACCTGTGACAGACACCTCATTGGTTGATGTTTTAGCAATCTACATGCCCCTGCTACTGAAGGCAACTGAGTTGCGCCTTTCTTCGATCAACAGCACCATTACCGATTTTCATTTAATGATTTCTGAATGCATATTATCGCACTCTACCCTTATACTATCATTCTGTACTCTATCCTTATCTCCTCTACTCGCCTGTAACCTTATGAATTCTACACGCTGTCCTACTTAACCTAAGTCGACTCGATTGAGAAGATATGCCAAACACTCAAAAAATTTCGTCAAGTGTCGTATTTTTTAACGCTCCTCTCGGTGTTTCGAAATGTGATAAGCCGCGGTCTGTCTTGATTAATATAATGCCGTAAAATCTCACGTTAAAGCCCTGGGCTTATTAGATTGCGAGCAGTCTCTCTTTTCCTCGAGAATCTGTGGGGAAGAACGCAAAACAAGTCAGCGTGCGAGCGTGACTGTGAGCCTGACATGCTAGCGGCAATGCAAGGCGCTTGTAGCACGGACACCCGCGCTACTAGCGGCTTGCAGCATCGCAGGTCACACTCACAGTCACGTTCGCTTTGCGTTCTTCCCCACAGTTTTCGTGGAAAAGAGAGACTGCTCGCGGTCTATGGGCTCATATAACTTCATGAGAGGTTTGGGACGGGCTTATAAACGGAGGGCTTATATCCGGAGGGGGCATAGAAGCGGAATGAATAAAATGTTTCGGAATGGCGAGATAAAACGTATCTGAGAAACGAATTAAAGCCAACATACATTACATTTAGAGTTATTACCGTATTATTACCCTATTACCCTATTGGCCTATAACTTTCGATTGAAAATTTTAATATTTGTAAAGAAACGCAGAAGGAAAGCACCCATACATTAAATGGGCTTATATCCGGGGGGGCTAATACCCGGCATAATATATCTGTCAGCAAATAGAAGGGCTTATATTCGGGGTGGGGGGCTTATAACCGGGAGGGTTTTAACGTGGGATGTAACGGTACGTCGAAGTTGCACTTACTCTTAGAATGTGTTGGCTTGAATCCTGTACGTCTCTTTCAACAGATACCGAAAACAAGGTCTGTACATTTATTTACATTTATCTAGTTAGTTATACTTACGCTTAGAATATGTTGGCTTGAATCCTGTAGGTCTATAGCAACGGACACCGAAAGCAAAGTCTGTACATTCAAGTCTCTTAGAACGGCTCCCATTTTCTCTGCCACTGTCCACGACCTGTTCATTATATCCCCAGTCACTGTCCAGCCGCCATACTGCTTTATCAAGTTTTCCAAGGGTGAAATACCTCGACGCTCAATGGCAGCAGTATCTACGCATGTATCGTAGATCTTGGCCGTTTTCACGATCGACGAGCTCTTGTTGGGAAAAAAAACACAATGATATTCTGATCAATAAGATTAAAGACTGTAACAAATACCAAACTCAGCTCTGTAAAGGCCAAACAAATCTTTGAGATAGTAGTTTGTCAAGAACATCAAATTAATAACAAGATTATTCACTGAAAGTGAAGAATGATCATCGCAGTAAATTTTCCAATTTAAGCAATTGGAAAGAAGAAGCCTGAAAANATAGCTCAGTAGGTAGAGCATCGCACCGGTATCGCGGAGGTCACGGGTTCCAATCCCGTTGAAGCCCTGATTTTTTTTTTCCAGGCTTCTTCTTTCCAGCTGCTTAAATTGGAAAATTTACTACTGATGATCATTCTTCACTTTCATCTACAACCGCAGTTCAAATATGAATTATTTCATATATACTTCACATCAAGATCATTCACTATCAGTTTCTGTGAGGTGATAGTTAGCTTCCTTGACTAAAATTATAATGATTTCCAACTATTTTTCTACACATCCAGTAGTATTGGATCTAAAGACTGGGTTTTTTAAAGGGCTTTGCCATTGCTATGGCAACCGTTTGCCTCACCAATGTGACAATAACGTGTTAATCAATTATTGGCCATTTGTTTGAAACCCGGCGTTATTATGGCATCAATTGAGAAAGAAGGTTGGTATTGATTCATAAAAGAAAAAGCGCTGAAGAAGAAATAGCACTTCATGATGACAGTTTCTTTTGAAAGATTGCTGAGCCAATCAGATTGCAGCATTTTCACTATTGTACTGACTTAATTCTAGAACTGAAAAAAAAAAAAAAAAAAAATGGAGAACAACCTGTAAGGAAGTACGGGATGAAAGCTGTACCTCTAAAAACACTCGCAGAAACATACAAACACACGAGCTGCTGATGCAGTCGTTGTACATGTAGTACGACCAGAAACGGAAGCACTTATGCTCATGACCTAAGGACACGTTTCCCCTGGAGCGATTGTTTTTCTCCGAGCTTGTTTAAGCAGATGATTTTCTTATTTCGCCGAGAGACTCGAGAGAGACTCGGCAAAGACTCGACCAGAAGTTTCCGGGTCGATGAAGCTGCTGTACAGACTCTTACTGGTTAATTAAATTTTCGCGCGCAAACAACAACGAATCAAATACACCACAGCTACGTTTGTACAGCTGCGTCACCAGAAAGGAATTTTTTCGAATCAGCTCTTAGACGCCGCTCGGGCACAGGAAGAATTGAGCCGCACCCGAGGAAAACGGCGTCCGTTTACCGAAGTCAACTTCATGCCAAACCTGAGAATAGTTAGAGGCAGCAGTCTCCATAGCTTGTCGTAAAACCTCCATGTTGTCGTCGTTCACGATAGTGAAGCCAACAACACTACTCTGATTCACACTGAGATGATGGGTTTTGAAAAACCCTCCGCATGCGTAGGAATAAAAGTCCTCACAAGGATCCACATCTTTGTCCAGCTGATTGGAAATGACTTGAAAGAAAAAACACTAGATGTGAAAAACCTTGGAATAATAAGATTGAAAATGACACAATAATGGACGTAGTCCCTCTTTCGCTTAGTTCGTAAATAAACGACGAGGAAAAAATGGCCGCGTGAAGCGAAAGAGGGACTTTTCGTAATCCAGCAATAATTATCCAGGCACTCGAAATTATAATTTCAAATCAGTTTGATTCGACATCTGTATTTCATTTCTGACTTTTGTGCCTTTCAACTCGCTTTGGATTTTTTCAAAGATCTGTTATCAGAATTTAATCTCTGTTTCGGACCCGTATTATTTGCATGTGAAAAAATAGAATTTCACATACTCACTCACAGGGAAGATGTTTTAGTCAAAATTAATTAATATCTATTTCCTAAAGGTATGATACAGTCTTAATGTATAATTAATTGTAACAAGTAAAGCTAAAACCACAAACCTTTAGAGATATTGTAACACTCCTTCGTCTCACAAATGAGTGGTTCTACATTTAAGAAAATATCAAACAATGCAGATGATTCAAGCAAACAACCTTCAAATACAGTGGAACGTGTTAGAGGAATGTTAATGAAATTCTGCGCCGCCTAGATCTCCTTGCTAAACTTAAGTCAAATCACAGCTGGCCATCGTTGAGTTAAGTACTTGAAATTCAAATTTGACATACATTCCGTATCTACTGCTCGCCTCCTACATCACGACTTTGTTTTTACTGAGGAGTTATCAATATATATCATTGTTAATGTCAAATCCAAGTTATATTTAAACAATGTGTAACTTTCCTTTATTTTGTATATTATTTTTACACGACCCTTCAAGCTTGTAGCTTAAAACATTATCGTTTATTATATGGCTGTGTCCCACATGGCCTGGGAACTACCGAATTCACGAATTTGATTGGCTGAAATCGATATTGACCGCGGTCTAGATTTTCCCATCTAGACCAGTTTCGTTTTGCGTTGAAAAAGTAGCAAACTAAAATACAAAAATTTTCACCATTTTCTTTTATTTTCTTCTCAATCATTTATGGAAGTGCCAAAAAGCCTGAT